ATAAAATATATATAAAACATAAAAGAATATTTTAGAATAAAGAGCACACTCAAAATATATATATATATATATATATATATATATATACATATCCTAAAATCTGGGAAAACAAGCAAACAATATTTAAAAACACTCTGGCCTCAAGAATACCAGATATGGGAGACGGAAGTAACCCTGCAAAGGAAAGCATTATAAAGAACTACAGCCAAAAATGGCTCTCAACAACGCTGGAGGCCAAAGGGGAGTTCGTTCTTGGACGGAAAACCAGCCAAAGTATCAAACAGGGAGAAAATAAAACTTCATATTTATCGACAATTTCACTTAAGTATGAATAGGATGTTCTCGAAAAGTGGAATGTAAAGTCTAACCCAGAAGATATGCAGCCAGGAGACAGGGCTCTGGGGAACAGAGAGAAGGATGTCTCCTGACACACAAGACAGCTGATGCCAAGGTCAAAGATCAACATTTGGAAAGGTCACTGAAAGAATGATAGAGCAAATTGAAGAGAGATTAGATGACAACTCTGAGGAGTTGAACTCAGGGCCTTGTTCCTTATAGGAAAGCTCTTTACCACTGAACCACACCCCCAGCTTTTTTACTATGTAGCCCAGATGGGATCCACCTCTAATGCCCCTGCCTCCTGAATGCTAAGATTATAGGAAGGTATCATGACAGACTAAGGAATCCTCTTTTTATAAAGTGATTTTTGCTATATCAATGTATGGTCCAGAGCATCATACAACTGTTACAGTTTTCAAGGTGGAAAGAAAATTTATCTTGCATTTTTTGGTTTCCTAATGATTATATGGTTGATGATGCTTTTCTAACTCACTGTCGTCTGGTAAACTGCCTGATGCTCCTAACATGCTTGAGTCAGGCCAGCCTGCTTCGTGTCTAGTCACTTAATGTACTGCACATGTCTGTATGATGAGGGGATAAATTTTTTGGACTGTAATATTTTAAGTTAAAGAATCCTTATAATAGGTTATATTGAGATATGACTTTCAAAATTTTGTTGGTTGCAAGTGATCTCAAGATACAGTATTTAAATTAGTTGAGCTTTGGGGGCTGGAGTTGATGGCTCAATGGTTAAGGGCACTTGCTGTTCTTCCAAAGAACAAGAATTAGGCAGTACCCACATCAGGTAGCTGCCATACCTCCAGCTCCAGATCTGATGCCCTCTTCTAGCATCTGTCTCTCTTTCTCACACATACATATTCAAAATAAAAATTAATTACTTTTGAGACATGGTCTCACTATATAGCTCTGGCTAGCCTGGAACTCACTGTGTAGATCAGGTTAGTCTTGAACTCACAGAGATCTGCCTGCCTTTGCCTCCCAAGTACTGGAATTAAATTTGTGCATTACTATGCCTGGCTCCAAATTCTTAAAAATATAAAAATTTAATCATACTGTTCGCAATAAAACTAACATGGCTCCTGTGGTGGTTTGAATAAGACTGGCCCCCATGGGCTCATATATTTAAATGCTAAGTCAACAGAGAGTGGCATTATTTAAAAGGATTAGGAGGAAGTGTGACACTGGGGGCAGACTTTGAGGGTTCAAAAGTCCAAGCCAGGTCACAGTGTCTCTGTTTCTGCTGCCAGCAGATCCAGATGTAGAACTCTCAGCTACCTCTCCAGCACCATATCTATCTGCATGCCACCATGCTTCCTGCCATGATGATAATGGACTAAACCTCTGAACTGTAAGCCAGTCCCAATTAAAAGCTTTCTTTTTTAAGAGTTGCTGTGGTCATGGCGTCTCTTCACAGCAACAGAAGAACACTGACTAACAAATAGGCAGTAATTAGTTCTTAAAAATTTCTTCTACTGTCATCATTATTGCTCTATAAGGCTAGGATTAGAATCCAGGCTTCATGCATGCTGGGTAAGTGCTCTACCTCAAGCTGATTCTTAGACTTTAAACCAAACTTTGTATACAGGAAGAGGAGCTACAGACAGAATGGTTGGGTAGCTCTATGACCAGTTTTGGTGCAGTACAAAATCAGACAGGGCTGCAATAGATGTAAACACACCGAAGAGCATTAGCAGCTGTAGAGAAACTCCCCTTCCTCTTTCTTTTTAAAAGAAGAGCAATGACTCCTTTGGGAGAAGCTGCTTTGCCTCCTGATTCAATATTAATTTTTTATGAAGGGAGCCATGTTACACACAGCCCTGGGGAATGAACAGTGACATTGAAAAAAAGAAGCCATTATTTCTTAATGAGCAAGAGGCAAATGTTTAAAAAGCAAGTTTACATAGGAGTCACTTCAAGAAAGTAAGTTTCCTTCATTACATGTGGTATGGAAAAAACAAACAAACAAACAAACTACTAGCTGACATTTCTCAGGAACAGCCCTGTTTTCAGATACAAAATTCTGAAAACTGTGTTTCAAGGAGTTCTTAAAAGTGGGGTGATTTTTATCAAACTTACTGTTATAAGTTTGAATAACAGCATATTGTTATCCTTTCTAAAATGAAACAATTGCACTGTTGATGGCAATATATTCTTTATACCACAACACCTAATATTGAGTAAATTATAAACAATAATCAAAAAAAGAAAGTAAGTTTCCAGATTCAATTGGCATGACAATGATGAAAAAAAAATCAATGTTCACATGCTAATTTCACTAACAAAAGATGTAACTAATATTCTACTGAGTAAAGCTAGGAAGGTAACTTCAACCCAAGTGTTTTATAGAAAATAAAAGTTAGGCATGTAAAATAATTTTCTTTCTAATAAAAACAACAAAAAATAAAAAAATGTTATAAAAGAAAAGTTAATAATGAAAGAGTTAAATATCTGGGAAACTAATTGAATTCTCTATATTGCTGGATAATATAGCATATTTTATAAGTGTGGATATAAATTATTCATTGGACTACTTATGCCT